AGTGTCTCATGGGTCCCTGTACAGCCTCCCATTGCTGCTGTCTCCATCGCCACACACTCTGCCATGTGCCACTTTCAGGTCTCCTCACACTGCTGGTGGGTTCCATTTTGTCATAGGGTGCTGGCAGATTACGGGCCTCCCATTGCTGCTGCCAGGCCCGTAATCTGCCATGGGCCCCCGTACCGACTCCTCATGCTGCTGCCAGGTCCAGAGTGTCTCATGGTCCCTGTACGGCCTCCCATTGCTGCTGTCTCCATCGCCACACTCTGCCATGTGCCACTTTCAGGTCTCCTCACACTGCTGGTGGGGTTCCATTTTGTCATAGGGTGCTGGCAGATTACGGGCCTCCCATTGCTGCTGCCAGGCCCGTAATCTGCCATGGCCCCCGTACCGCCTCCTCATGCTGCTGCCAGGTCCAGAGTGTCTCATGGGTCCCTGTACGGCCTCCCATTGCTGCTGTCTCCATCGCCACACTCTGCCATGTGCCACTTTCAGGTCTCCTCACACTGCTGGTGGGTTCCATTTTGGTCATAGGGTGCTGGCAGATTACGGGCCTCCCATTGCTGCTGCCAGGCCTGTAATCTGCCATGGGCCCCCGTACCGACTCCTCATGCTTCTGCCAGGCCCGTAATCTGTCATGGGCCCCTGTACCGCCTTCCTCATGCTGCTGCCCAGGTCCAGAGTGTCTTATGGGTCCCTGTACGGCCTCCCATTGCTGCTGTCTCCATCGCCACACTCTGCCATGTGCCACTTTCAGGTCTCCTCACACTGCTGGTGGGTTCCATTTTTGTCATAGGGTGCTGTATGGCCTCCCATTGCTGCAGCCTCCACCGCCACACTGTGGCTCCACACTCTGGTTTTGGCCCCGTGACTGCCCAAATGAGTGAAGTGTGCGGTGATTCTAAAGTCCCCCCTAAGATCGACGGCACTCATCTGCATGTCATACTGACTGACAGTATTATTTCTCTTCCCCCAGCTACAAGGCAACTCCAAGGGCATTTAAATTATTCCTCGAATTCGCCGAATCAGCCCGAATCGAATTTTTGAATACTTATGCTCATCTCTAGTCATTAACATCTTCAATACCATCTTAGACAGGCCAGCCTCCTCACCTATTGAGTTTGATAGAGTGCATAGGGTCAATGTCCCTGGCGGTGGTGAATGCACCCAACCTAGGGATGTCATATTATAGTGCATTTCTTTCTGGTGAATGAGGAGATAATGCGAAGGGCCTTTAATAAAAACCCAGTCTCCTTTGATGGCGCCACCATCCATCTCCTCCCGAATCGCAGGGCCCTCTACATGGGATGCCAGCCAGGCCTCTGTTGGAGGGAATGCGGTGGCACTTCTGTGTAGAGCCAAAATTAGCCTTCTTTTTGGACTCACTGAATCGCAGGTGGCCTGCATGATGTAGAGTCCTTTTTTGAATGTCCTTTTGGCTATCTGCCTGCATGATAATAGCAAGAACCCTCGCCAATTGCAAGATGTTTTTTGCTTCCTGAATGTCAAACCTATGGCCTTGCCTAATTGGCTAGTGTTGGATACAGTTTCCAGTGGAACTCCACTTCGTCAACGCAAATGCCACATACCCACCTCCTGCAGTGACTTCAGATGGTAACCGATGGATCCACATTCTAGGGAGCAGTGATTGCTGTAGTGCCATCTCTTCTGGTCCCTGCCTATGTTCGATATATACTGTATGTGCCTTTTAGTTATACGTTCAATGTCAAGACTCTACCCCAAGATATTTCAAGCTGGGTAATGTAACCCCTTCACTGCCGTTTATATTATATCCTTGTTTTTGATTTAGTTGCTGGTTATTACCATGAAGCCTCATGCTCATGAATTTGTCTCCTGTGGCTTGCATGTTTCTCTTGTAGGTCAGATCGATAGAGAGATAAGTGTTTAAGCCTGTGCTAAAATTTGTCTCCTGGGCTTTTGTTTCTCTTGTAGGTAACGATGGGCTTTTAGAAGAGATAAGTTTAGTGTGTTAAAATGTTAAAATTTTTAAGCTTCTAACCTTTTTCAAAGGTCACTAGTTGATGGGATTCCATGTGAGCCCTTGGAGGGCGGATTGCCATTCTCGGCAGAATAGTGCTTGATGGTTGTCTCCAGGCCCTTCTTATTTTCTCCTGTGCTGTTTGTATGACAGATCTATTCTGCAGGTCCGTTACATTATCATTGTAGGTTTGCCTACTCCTCCCTCTTGGGATGTTCCACATGTGAATCCAATATACAGGGGTTTTTTTTTTTTAATGTCTGTTCTTACAATTACCCTTCCTTTTTTTGGTCGGCACGGCATCTTTTCCCATGCTGGGAGGGAACTATCCCTTCGTTACATTAAGAATATGCTATGTGGTTATCCTCCCCACATAGATTGCAGTGCTTCTGACGGTTTCAGATTCCTGCAACAGACAGAACCCTTTTACAACCTTCCTCTGTTCATTATAACAAAGTGGTGCTAGCATATGGGTTCTTTTTTTTCTTCTACTCTGTGATATCTCTCCTTTTCTATATTTGTATCTTTTTATTCTTCCCCCCTTTTTTCCCCCCACCCTAATCATGAGAGGTCCTTGTGTTGCTACCGCTCTTCACTTATGCTCATTCAATGCCTGTGGCTTGAATGATCTTTCCAAGATGTTTCAGATCCTGTACGAGTTTCACAAGTCCAAGGTTGGGGTAATCTTATGTCAGGAGAACCACTTTTGATCGGACCTTATTCCTTCCCTGCAGAATAGGTATTATCCAAAATGGTTCCATACTGATCCTCACTCAAAATCCAGGGGGATGGCAATTGCCTTTCATAAATCTATAAATTATACTGCCCTGGATTCTTGTTCGGACTCTGGAGCCGATATCTGTTTTTGGAAATTATCCTTAGTGGCAAGATGTACACTCTAATGTGTACATTCCTAAACATGACCAAATAACCCACACTATTCAATACCTCCATAAATTGATGGAATTTGCTGAAGGGGTTGTCCTCTTTGCTGGAGACCTAAACTGTGTCCTTAACCCCATTTTAGATACTTCTTCAGATAAGTGCTCTATCTAATATTCCCAGGTTAATAGGCTAAAAAAGGTACTGCTCCAATATAATCTGATAGATGTTTGAAGAATTCTCCACCCTACCAATAGAGATTACTCCTTTTATTCCACTGCCTATGATTCTTACTCCTACCTAGATTTTTTTCTTGTGAGCCATTACACCTTAACATTTCAACCACAAAGTAGGATTGGTAACATATTGTGGTCGGACCATGCACCAGTGTATTTGTCCCTATCTTTACCTGACCGTGAATGGATGTGAAGACTCAATGACTCTTTGTTGCAAGATGAAGCATTTTCTACAGAAATGTGGACTACTATCACCTATTTCCTCTCTGACCATCAATCTGACAGTACCTCTGCCCCCATTCAATGGGAGACCCTAAAATGTGTATTTCGCAGGGTCTTCATTAAACATAGGTCTAGGCTAAAAAATGAATGCCTTGCCCAAGTTAAGGAGCTTATGCTCTGTATCTATGACCTTGGATGATCTCATAAGTGATGCCAGTCCCCAACCACTCAAATGGTGTTACCTAATGCTCTCCTTAGTCTTTTGCAACTTTTTGAGCAATGGATTGTGACCATTAAAACCAAACTTCATAAAGTATTCTATGTTGAGGCTAACAAACCAGGTAGGATACAAGCCAGGGCCCTCCATGCCAAGAATAGCCTTGCGTCTATTTCCAAGCTTAAATGTCACGATGGCCAGCTTGGCCATCATCCCAAAGTTATTAATGGGCTACTCTGCTCATTTTATGATGCACTTTACATCCTGCCAGAATACCCCCCTAATATTTCTCTGGAAGATCTTCAATTCTTGATGAGTACATTGCTACCTTGCACTCCTGACCATCCCTGCCTCTGTGGTCCAGGTATTGGAATAGCCTTTTTCAGAGGATGAACTGGCGATTGTGATTTCTTCACTTAAACCTAATAAAAGCCCAGGCCTGGATGGCTATACTACTCGTTTCTACAAATGTTTTCAAGACTCTCTTCTCCCGCTTCTCACAAAAACCTTTAATGCGGTGTCCTCTAATACCCCCTTCCCGCGACAAGCCCTCAAAGCCCATATCGCTGTCCTACCTAAGCCTGGAAAGGACCCGGCTCTCTGGGGTAGCTACCGTCCTATTTCTTTAACCAGCGTCGACATGCATTTTGTACTCTAAATTATTGGCAAATCGCTTCATGCCCTTGATCCCTAATGTGATACACTTAGACCAAGTGGGATTCATCCCTGAAAGGGAAGCCAGGTATAATATTCTTAAAACAGTCACGCTAATGCAATATGCCAAAATATTCCACATTCCTGCCTGTTTAATTTCGGTGGACGCTGAAAAGACATTCGATCGGATCCATTGGAAGTTTCTTGAGGGTACCCTTTTGCAAGTGGGCCTTGGACCCAATATGTTGAGTAAAATTCTGGCATTATATAAGGAACCAACGGCGAGGTTAAGGTCTAATGGCCTTCTTTTGGATTCAATATGGACATGCAATGGTACCCGACAGGGATGCCCCCTCTCGCCTTTACTATATACCTACTATGGAGCACCTTGCCAACGCTTTCAGGCAAGACCCTAATATTGAAGGTAATTCGGTCAGTCAACATCATTATAAGCTCTCCCTTTGTGCAGATGACCTCTTATTTATTATTATTTGTTTCTAATCCCTGTGTCTCTGTACCAGCCATTATCAAAGCATTTACAGACTTTGGTTCTGTAAGTAACTTTAAAGTGAACTACGACAAAACTGAAGCCCTTAATATATCTTTACCTACATCCACCAAGTCCTAACTACAATATAACTTTGAGTTTAAGTGGCAATAAAAGGCTAATAAATACTTGGGTATCCTCATTCCTACCTCCTTGCCCTCTTTAGCAGACATTAATTATACACCCCTTTCTTGCACAATCCAAACATGCCTTAAAGCTTATGTGCAAGCTGAATATTTCCTGGTTTGGTCTCATGAATGTAGACAAAATGATGTGCTACCTAAACTTCTTTATATCTTCCAAGCACTCCCTATCTCCTCTCCATCAGGCTTTTTTCCATCAGTAAATAAGGCCATCCCAACATAAGAGAGCCCGGATTATCCTGTCCTTACCTAAACATAAGGGAGGTGTTGCCCTACACTTTTTTATCATACTTTCTTGCAGCTTCGCTTCTCCGGTTAGTTGATTGGTATCATAGTAAATCCTCTAAACTTTGCACTTTTCTAGAAAATTACCTAATCTCCCCAGATTTCACATCCTTACCATGGATAGAATCTACCCACAGGCACCCTACTGATCTATTGCCACTCGTAACCTCTCATCACGACCGAGTCCCTTGACTCCGCTCTTTGGGAACGCATCTCTATCCCCGACTTTTACTGGCTCTAAATTCCTTTCTTTGAAAAAATCAGATTACCCGCTGCTATACAATACGTTTTACAATGGCAATATAATTCCTCTCTCCCGAATACTTTCTTCATGTCATAGTCCTTCAGGGGTGTGGCTTGAATACACTCAATTGACACATTTTCTAGGTAGGCTTCAGAGTATAGATTCTTTAACCAGACAACTTACAAACTGAGTCGGTTTCTTTCCCAGTCCACAAGACTGGACTGCTCACTTTCTCAGATTTATTACATCCTCTTAAGTGCCTCTCATCCAGATCCACCACCATATTTTTCTAAATGGGAAAGGGAACCTAATACACTACCTGAAGACATGGAATGGGACAAAACACTGGCACTTTCCTTTAAACTTTTATATATCATTTAATGCCCAAGAACGTAACTACTGCATTGTGTTTCGGTGCTACCGATGCCCTACTCTAGTACAAAGAATACACCCTATCATACCGGATACAAGTTGAAGATGTTTACAAGCCCCTGGCACCATGACACATATTTAGGGCACTTGCCCATGCATTACTCCTTTTTTGGGTTAAAATACCACAGTTATATGACAAACTGG